TGGTATTGAGTCCCTATTCCAATTCCCCTAGTTGTCCCAAGAATGACTTTTATAGCTGTTCCTCTTCCTGAGCCAGGATTCAGTCTGATTCATGGCTTACATTTGGTTGTGTCTTTGCTCTCTTAATCTAAAATAGGCCTACCCACTTTTTTCCCCCATGACTTTACTTTTTGAAGAGTTCAGGTCAAGTGCTTTGCAAAATCTCCCACATTATGGATTTGTCTGATTGTTTCCTTGTGGTATAATATAATTTGTTCCTTTATTTCTTTTAATTCCTGTGCAGTGGGAGTTAGATTTACAGATTTGGTTTGATTCAGGTAAAACATTCTTGGCAAGAATATTTCTTAGGTGATGTTGCCTGCTTCAGACATTAAGAGGTACATAATGTCTGTTTTTTTCACTATTAGTAATCCTACATTAATTTACTTTGTTTAGGTGATGACTACCAGATTTTACCATTTAAAGGTACATTTTCTGTCATGAAGAACCTAGGGGTAAGACAGGAATAAAGACGCAGACCTACTGGAGAACGGACTTGAGGATATGGGGAGGGGGAAGGGTGAGCTGTGACAGGGCGAGAGAGAGGCATGGACATACACACACTAACAAACGTAAGGTAGATAGCTAGTGGGAAGCAGCCGCATGGCACAGGGATATTGGCTCGGTGCTTTGTGATAGCCTGGAGGGGTGGGATAGGGAGGGTGGGAGGGAGGGAGATGCAAGAGGGAAGACATATGGGAACATATGTATATGTATAACTGATTCACTTTGTTATAAAGCAGAAGCTAACACACCATTGTAAAGCAATTATACCCCAATAAAGATGTTAAAAAAAAAGAAAGGTACATTTTCTTCTTTGCTATAAATAACTAATCTTGACACCTTATGAATATCTTATTTATTAACCTTTTACGTACTGGTTTTAATATCAATTAATGATCCTCGCCTGAATTAGTTATTACATTGGGGATTGCAAAGTGGTGATTTTTAAAATTTGACCATTCCTCCTAAATAATTAGCATTTTTCTATAAAGAAGAACTTCAATTTTTTCCACTTTCACTCTTCCCTTCTTTTGAAGTATCACTATGAACTGGTAGATTTTTATTTATTTAATTTGCTATTAATTAGAGTCATTCCTTTTGATGCTCAGATTGTCCCAAATTTGGCTGAGTCCCCTTCAGGGTTGCTGCTATTCCTTTTGATAAGCCCTCATCTATTCGTCTTTAAACACTTTCTTACATTAAAATAACAAGAATTTCAAGCTCATTTTGTACTTTCCCTACCCCAGAATGGGAATCAGCCATTTTTCTGAGGAGTCGGTTCCCAAAATGGAGTTGTTTTAAAAAAAATTGATTATTCTCCCTTTTCTCCTCTCATGGAGACCTTTCTTCATTTCATTCTGTATTAGATCAGGATTTACGTAGTAAACTACCAGATTCAAGTATCCTAAATACCTGAGGCAAGGGTGAGGTGGGGTGATGGGAGTGGGCTCTGCTCCTCCAGAGGAATTCTTCCAGTTTAAGACAATCACTTGGGCAGCGTACTACTAGTATATTCTGTCTTCTGGTCCTTCTACTTCCACCCCTGATTTTTCTCACACAGTTTTTATTCTTTCACCTCCCTATTCATTCTGCTTCAATCTTTAGTTTTATTTTTCTATATAATGCATTTTGGAGTTAAGGCTTTAAGCTTTGCAAAATGACCATTTCCAACATCCATTTCAGCTAATTAATTTGATATGTTTAGGTTTTGATGTGATGTTGCTCAATATTAATTTATATTTATTTCTGTTATCTTACGAAGCTTGCTTTCTTTGATGAGGCTGTGATGACTGCAGTTTCTCTCAGTTCTTGATGGTCGTTGGGCAGACCAGCAGTATGCTAGGTTCACATCATGGTTGGTGCACACCTTCCCTTAGGTTCAATTTCCTTCATCTGTTGCATTCTTTTCTGTCAGTTGGCCAGACTTGAGTTAAATATGTCTTCTTTCTCACTGTACGCCCTCCCCAAATCAGTTAAGAAGGCATTTTACTTACATTTTCCTAACATAAATCTCTCTCTCCAGATGGAGGGTTGAAGTCTCATTGTGCTAAGGAGGAAGGAAAATCACTGTTTTGCATGTACATATATTTTGGATTTTACAGGAAAGGGGAGGGCATTTCAAAATCTGGTGAATCAATACAGATATAAAAAATTGATAAAGATAGGACTGCTTGTTTTTATATTCTGCCACATAGCATGTGTTTAAATGAATTTGCCTATAATTTGTCTTCAAATGCTGACATTTAACTCTTAGACTGTATAATTGTGCTGGCTTTTTCGAGACAAATTCATATTCTGTGCCAGGCTAATATGTTCACCTATTACAGACATTATTGCCTATGGTAACAGCTAGAATAAAAAATTCTTTTTATATACATCATAGCTGGCAGAGGCTCTTGGGACTGCCACAAATCATTCCTGTCTTTTTGAACTTGCTGAGGAAAAGCATGGAGATGTAAAACCAACCTGGTCTGATATAGATTGGCTTTGAAAACATATTAGCTTATCTAGACCACTGTTCATTGTATTGTTGTGGTTGTTTTTAAGATGCTGAGTATTAAACACGCTCTTCTACTTAATGCATTGTTTAGCTTAGTAACCTATCCTTTCATTATGAACCAGCTCCTCTTCTACAAGCCATCTCTGGTTTTTGTTAAAGGTTAACAATGAGAATAATGAAGCAATTGGTTATTTATTCAGTCAGGATTGGCAAAAGTTATTAGAATAGGAATCTGCCCAGAAGCAATGATATGGTTATGAAAATGTTAAGAAGAACACTGAAGCCAGTCACCATTTTTGACATTTAAGAAATACTATTCCCACCCTTAATCATGATGACCTGTTATAAAAGTATTTATACAGAATAATCTTATTGGACAGTAATTTTTATACAACAGCATATATAATTAGGTGTTAGGGAGATTCAGAAATGATCTGAGAGAAGAATGAGCCTTGGGAAGAAATGACCACAGTGAGAAATAAGGAACAGAGAACTCTCCCTTGGATAGAACTCCCTGTCTTCCAGACACCTGATCTGTGCAGTTTAGTATCTTCTTCCTGAGCACTTTGCAAGTTTGAGGAGCTGTGGGAGAGGGTACCCCAAGTTAGGTTGCTATGTTCTTCATACTAGACTGTAAAACATGTAGGGAGGTATATGGGCAGAAAATTTCCTGATGATGCTTTTATTAATGAAATATTGACTAAATTGACATTATGCAAAACCAAACAAATAGGACAAAAATCTAATCATAATCCTGTTATGTTTAACATAGGTAGAACCTCCTATGTAAATTAGGCAGTAATTACTTTGACCAGAACAGTATCATCACTTCCACCCTGAATTTTTTAGTAACAGCTTTATTGAGATACAATTCACATACAATAAAAATCACCCTTTGGAAGTATAGAATTCAATGGTTTTGAGTATATTCCTAAAGGTGTGCAAAGACAGCCTTCTACTTCCAGATCATGTTCATTGCCTCCCCCATAAAACGCATACCCATCAGCAAGTGCTCCCTATGTCCCTTCTCCATCTTTTGGCAACCACTAATATACTTTCTATCTATATGGATTTGCCTATTCTGGACATTTCTTTTTTTTTCCCCATTTAGCTTTTCTCACATAATGGGTACTTCAGAAAATTGGAGAAGAGGACAGAAAGTGAACATGGATGAATGTAACTCTTACTTGTGATCTGGTATACTTAGAACTAAGTATTCTTTTCCCTGGCTCATTGGAAGAGGTATTTTAAACAACAACATACATAGAATTTGTAGCCTTTTGTGTCTGGCTTCTTTAGCACATAATATATTCAAGTTTTACTCATATAGTAGAATGTAGGGATACTTTGTTTCTTTTTATGGCTGAATAATATTCCATTTTATAGGTATACCACATTTTGTTTATCCATTTGTCACTTGATAGACATTTGGATTGTTTTCACTTTTTCACTGTTATGGATAATGTTGCTCTGAATATGCATGTATAAGTTTTTAATGTGAACCTATATTTTCAGTTCTCTTGGGGAATTGGAATAGAATTGTGGGTCATATGGTAACTCTGTGTCTAACTTTTTGAGGCACTGCTAAATTATTTTCCAAAGCAGCAGCATTTTACATTCCCATCAGCTATGTGGGAGGGTTCTCATTTCACCATATTCTTGCCAGTGCTTGTTATTGTCAGTCTTTTTGATTATAGCCATTCTAGTAAATGCAAAGTGGTATCTCACTGTGATTTTGATTTGCATTTCCTAGTAGCTAATGGCTAACAATGTAAAGCATCTTTTCTTGTGCTGCTTGGCCATTGGTATATTTTCTTTTGGGAAATGTCTATTCAAGTCCTTTGCCCATTTTTAATTAGGTAATAGTTTTTATTGTTGAGTCATATAACATCTTTACATATCTATGGATACCAGACCTTATCATTTGTATGATTTGCAAATATTTTCTCTCATTCTGGAGGTTGTCTTCTCAATTTCTTAATAGTGTCCTTTGAAGCACAAAGTTTTAAAATTTGAAATCCAATTTATTTATTTGTTCTTCATTGCTGTGCTTTTAGGTGACCATTGCCTAATCCAAGGTCACAAAGATTTGCTTTTATAAAGTTTATAGTTTTAGCTATAAATTTAGGTCAGTGATCCATTTTCAGGTAGTTTTATACATGGTGTGAGATGGGGGTCCACCTTCATTCTTGTGCATATATTTGTTTTCATCAAATTTAAAGACTTGAGAAAGAAAAATTTTAATAGGATAAACATTGTTACTCCCTGTGAATTATTGTTTCATGATTTTGAGGGGGGTACATATGCTGTGTTCATCTGAAGACTATAGCTTACCTGCACTCTCACCAAGTATGGTTACATTTCTGTCTCTATTTTGTTTGTTGAAATCTGAAAAACAATACCGATATATGCAGTTTAAATCCACTTATTAGCTTTTTCCCTTAATTTGCAATCTCACCTCTTCAGCTACAGTATAAAGAATGCCAAGAACTTCTAAGCCTCTATCAGAAATATCTATCAGAACAGCAGGAGAAGCTTACTGTGTCTCTCTCAGAACTTGGTGCTGCTAAAATTCAGGAACAACAGGTAAGCATCTTTTTTCTTACCTTTTCTTGTCTTTAATGGATCAGCAAGATGTCAGAAGAGTTATCTGCCTTTTACTTTGTCTCACTGTATACAACATTGTCTTTAGACCTACAGTTACAGCATGTGATTGAGTTGGCTTCATTTACTTCCCTGTTTCCCTTTCCTCTTCTATTCCTGGGGCCCAGAGGTCAGGAATGATTACTTGAAGCAGGCTCTGGGTCAGGAGGGAAGCTCCTGGTTGTATGAAAGCACAACAGGAGTGATAAAGAAAACCCACTGCTCTTGTTACTTAATGAAGATCAGGTGGGCTCTTTTTTTTTTTTTTTTTTACTCATAAGCCTCTTCTAACTCATGTTTAGAGTTTTAGAGTAATGAAAGTCTCTTGGCAAATTGTAAAAGCTTTAACTGGAGAAAACTGGAACATTTAGCATGATTTTGTGTTTGTATATATGTATTAATCACATAAGTATATATGAGAGTGTTTGCATATTAACATTTATATACATATCATCAAATAGTATATATTATATAATTAAAGTTCAGAACCCTGCCAGTTGTGACGTGAAACAAGTTCTGAAGACTTACTTCTTGCCCTCTAGCAAGTGACATTGGTTGTCTTTTTCATATCCAAATGAATTTAAATGGATGAGGATAGCTTTTGTATTAAAACGTGGTAGGAAAAACTATATAGAGTGTCAGAGTCATTCATATTATTATTAAAACATGGATAATGTACTAACTAAAGGGTTATCCTCTCCCTTTGAATAGTAGCAGGTCTTGAATGGTTTTCTGTAAACCTTCTAAAGAGCACTGTTCTGTTCAACCTAGAGACACCTGTCTCAGATGGGTTAAGAGTTTCGGCTAAGAAAATCCATTTTTAAACCTCAAGTTTGGACATATGGAAAAGTAAAAAAAGAAAGAATAATAATTTTGCTGGAATGTGGCATAGCTTAGACTTTTAACGTACCCTCCCTTTTTTTTTTTTGAAGTCACAATATTTATAAGAAAGAACCACAGTATGAATGGTTTATTTGTATTCTAACTGGAAATATTTTCTTTTGTTCTGTTTTCTGAAAACCTATGCTATAAAATGAGGCAGAGGAAGGTGGAAGCTAATCTTTTTATCTGGATTTGTTTTGCCACTTTGAAAAAGGGCAGTTTTTAAGGTGGCACTTTCCTAATGCTCTCATGGTCGGGCTAGAGAAGATTATAACATGAAGATCAGATTTCTGACTTTCGTCTTTACATTTCCACTCCCTCTGTCTCTATCACAGATGTTAAAGGGCACAAAAACGTTGGCCAAGGGTAGTGGAGGAGAGGCTGAGGGACGTTTCAATTGCCAGTAGTTAAGGATATAGACTGAGAGTCAAGAAATAGTCATTAGGGAGTTTAAAGACATCTAGATAAGGAGGCCTAGCCCTTTTTCTGTCTACTGCTGAAATGAGGGGAAAATAAAACTTTCTAAAGGGTAGTGTTTTATGTTTAAAAGAGTGATTCTTGGAGGTTTCCCTAGAGACCAATCATAGTTAACACTGCCTCTCTTAACCTCAACCTTGAGGAGCAAAACTAAAAAAATTACAAATACTAGGAAGAAACTGTTGGTCACAGGTATGGAGAAAGTATACTCTCAAAAGGAGATACTTTGGGGGGCTTCCCTGGTGGCACAGTGGTTGAGAGTCCGCCTGCCGATGCAGGGCACACGGGTTCATGCCCTGGTCCGGGAAGACGCCACATGCCGCGGAGCGGCTGGGCCTGTGAGCCATGGCCGCTGAGCCTGCGCGTCCGGAGCCTGTGCTCCGCAACGGAAGAGGCCACATCAGTGAGAGGCCCGCCTACCACAAAAAAAAAAAAAAAAAAGGAGATACTTTTGAATTTTCATTTTGACTTAATCATGAGAAAATTTTAAAACCATGTTTTCAGGAAGTGCCCGGTGGTCAGACTTTAGATTAAAATGAAATTGAGAGCACTTGTAGACTCTGCTATTTGAACCTAGAGAGGGAAAATAAGTTTCTTTTTGAATACCAGGTGGAGATTGTCACCCGTTTCCTTTGTTATCTGATTTGTTCTTTGTGACAGGCTTCTCTTAGCTAAGCAAAGGTAAGCACCTTCTCACTCATCCTCTTGGGAATTGGGTGAATTTGGTGGGCAAATCTACTTCCTGTCAGGAAGGGCATCATTGTGAACACTCTGAATGAGGATGTGGTAAAGTTAGAGGTCCTCTTTATGTGCTCACAAATAGACTACTCGTCTGTATCATAGCACTGTGCTAGTTCTTCTGTAATCATTGTTTATTCATCCCTCTCTCTCACCAAGCTTTTTTAAAAACAGCATCCTGTTGGTTTCTTTATACTCAGAACCTAACATAGGTTGGCCTAATAAAGTTTTAATTTTTATTTAACAAAATTTAATATGGTAAATACTGTGTGCTCCAGGTACTGTTCTAAGCTCTTAACACACATTAAATCGTTTAGTCCCTCAGTAGCCCAATGAAGTTATTATCCCCATTTTACAGAGGAGGAATCCCAGGCAGAACAAGAGACTTGCCTTGTCATCCAGGTAGCAAGTTAGGAAATCAAGATATGAACCTAAACAGTCTGACTCCATATTTTCTTGAAGAGAGAAAGACAAGAAAATTTTGAGATAGCTAAAAAATATTGAAAATTTGCTTTACAAGCCCTTGTTTCTATGACCAACCCTCTTTTGGATCTTAATCTGAAATCCAGTTTTTTGAATGCCAGAGCACAAATACACTAGAGATGGTGGGAAACTGTTTGATTTTCCTGTGAGTAGCCAAAATGTCAGGTAAACATAAAATTTTATTTGTTCTCAAAATAAGGTTTTTTCATAGGCAGAACACTCTATGACATAAATCACAGCAAGATCCTTTTTGACCCACCTCCTAGAGAAATGGAAATAAAAACAAAAATAAACAATGGGACCTAATGAAACTTCAAAGCTGTTGCACAGCAAAGGAGACCATAAACAAGACCAAAAGACAACCCTCAGAATGGGAGAAAATATTTGCAAATGAAGCAACTGACAAAGGATTAATCTCCAAAATTCACAAGCAGCTCATGCAACTCAATATCCAAAAAACAAACAACCCAGTCCAAAAATGGGCAGAGACCTAAACAGACATTTCTCCAAAGATATACAGATTGCCATCAAACACATGAAAGAATGCTCAATGTAACTAATCATTAGAGAAATGCAAATCAAAACTACAGTGAGATATCATCTCACACCAGTCTGAATGGCCATCATCAAAAAATCTACAAACAATAAATGCTGGAGAGGGCGTGGAGAAAAGGGAACCCTCTTGCACTGTTGGTGGGAATGTGAATTGGTACAGCCACTATGGAGAACAGTCTGGAGGTTCCTTAAAAAACTAAAAATAGAACTACCATACGACCCAGCAATCCCACTACTGGGCATATACCCTGAGAAAACCAGAATTCAAAAAGAGTCATGTACCACAATGTTCATTGCAGCTCTATTTACAATAGCCAGGACATGGAAGCAACCTAAGTGTCCATCAACAGATGAATGGATAAAGAAGATGTGGCACATATATACAATGGAATATTACTCAGCCATGAAAAGAAATGAAATTGAGTTATTTGTAGTGAGGTGGATGGACCTAGAGTCTGTCATACATAGTGAAGTAAGTCAGAAAGAGAAAAGGAAATACCGTATGCTAACACATATATATGGAATCTAAGGGGAAAAAAAAGTCATGAAGAACCTAGGGGCAAGACAGGAATAAAGACAGACCTACTAGAGAATGGACTTGAGGATATGGGGAGGGGGGAGGGTAAGCTGTGACAAAGTGAGAAAGAGGCATGGACATATATACACTACCAAACGTAAGGTAGATAGCTAGTGGGAAGCAGCTGCTTAGCATAGGGAGATCAGCTCGGTGCTTTGTGACCACCTAGAGGGGTGGGATAGTGAGGGTGGGAGGGAGGGAGACACAAGAGGGAAGAGATATGGGAACATATGTATGTGTATAACTGATTCACTTTGTTATAAAGCAGAAATTAACACACCATTGTAAAGCAATTATACTCCAATAAAGATGTTTAATAAATAAATAAATAGATAAATAGATAAAAAGCAAAAAAATAAGCTTTTTTTAAACTCACCTTCAGATTTTGTGATAGAGATGCAGCAGTTCATTTTTCATGAGGCATTCATTTGACTTTAAGAGACTTCTTTTGTTTCTTCTTTGTGTTGGTTGCCATGAGGCTCAACTTGCTCATTATAGGTTTTGTTTATAATTTTATTAAATTTGCAGTTCTTCAGAAGAATGTGCTAGCTTATGGTTTTCTTTTTACTTCTGCCATTTGGTTGAAAAGAAGTTGCTCCATTTACAGAGCGAATTTTTTCCTTGCTTTTCCCCCCATCCTCTTTCTTGCTTTGCCTCAAAGATGAATGCATTCTCCATTCGTCTTGTAATTTGTTCAGCATTACAAGTTCTTCATTGTGGAATCTAGAAAGATTTTTCACTTGTTCTATTTAGACTGAGATACCTCACTGATGTGTGTCTGTTACTCCATTTCCTTATCTTAAGAAACAATACTTACCCACAGTATAACCTTGTTCTTGGACGTGGGAGGATCTAGTAACCATAGTTTTAACCAGAGTACATTTTAGAATATAGCTCTCCTTGTCACAGTTGAGTGTTACTATTTTGTGTGTGTGTGAATCTGAACTTAAATAATGTCACCTTAAACTCTGATGCTTATAACTTCTATTTTAATCTTATTTGATAGGCTGTATCATTTCAGGAGAGGTATGGTATTTCCACAGTATTCTTTATATTAAGAGAAAGCCTAGGCAGCACTTTGAGTAGCTTTTCCCACTGCAGTTTGAAAATGTCTCTATGCAAGATTGCCTTAATGTTTTTCTTAACTCTTCCATTTTTTTGCCAAGTAGATATAAAATGGTAGATTTGGATTCATCTTGAGATTTCCCCCTTTTCTATAAAATGGATAAAA